CTTGTGAAGTTCTATTTAAACGTACAATTGATATGTAAAAAGGTGGAGAAGACTGAGGATTAAACGTTGCATATTTAGTTTGGTGTAATTTCACATTTTCTTGCTTTTATTTTTTTATATCGATTTTATTTTGGGAATAGCTTAACTAAAGAATTCTGAAGATGATGATGTTTATTTATTCTAAAATGTACATTTTAATTTAATAATACGAAATCTATATTACTGTTGTTTTGTTTTTCTTCCTTCCAGTTCTTTTTTTTTTCTTTAACGGTTGAAGAATGAAAGCGAAAAAGCAAAAAAGGCAAGGCGATTTCCAGAAAATTCAGCTAAAGGTTGGCAAAAAGAAGCCAAAAGCAGACAATGCAACAAACGTCAACTTCAGATCAAAAGCTATCCATTTACCAGAGCAGCTAAAGCATGCGGATTCAGGGCCAACAACGCACAGGCAGCTTGACATTAAGGTACATAAAACACACAATGTCACACTTTCCACTGATCCTTATCTTTCGTGGTTTATTATAGGGGTGTAAAAATACATCAGTATGAATCAATGCATCAATCAAATGAATAACAGTGTGGTGTATCAATCAATGCAACATAATATTGTAAAGATGCACCTTTATTTTGACTCATCTGCATTGACAGTTGCACAACTGGAGTAACTGGAACTTTTTTTCCACTCTCTCAGGATCTGTTGTCCAAGCTACACCACATCAACAGTAACATAAAGCAGGGAGCTCTGGTGGGTTTGCGGGAATTGCTGTCAGCTCAGCCTACTCTGATTGAGCTGCATGCATCAGCGGTGCTCTCTGAGGTGGCGGCACTCTTCACTGACAAAGATGGCTCTGTGCGAGCAGCTGCAGTGCGTCTGCTGCGTTTCATCGCTCAGTGCATCTCCGCCGAACGTGTAGCTCCCTTCTTCCCTCTGCTCAGCGCCCACCTCACTTGTGCCATGACTCACATCTCAGAAGCAATCCAGGAAGATGCTCTCCGGGTCCTGGATGTGCTGCTGGAGCACTATCCTGGACTTCTTTCTCAGAGGCATACGGTTCTTCTGACAAATTTTCTAGAGCTCATCTCCCAGAAGCGAAAAGCTGGAACAGGGCAGGATAAATCCGGGAAAGGGGGCTTTGCTCTGACTATCAGCACGAATCGCTCTGTAACAGCACAACAATGGAGACTCACTGTGCTGCTCAGGTGTGTTGCATTCCAAAAAAAATTAAATTCAGTCCTTTTTTCTCCCCATTCTTTCTGTGTCGTTTGCTGTCTTATTATTTATTAATAATTTATGTATTCATTCAGGTTGGGGAGTTTTCTGCAGGCAGTTGTTGAGGAAAGACCTCTGGAGGAAGGTGTGACCAGCATGATTGGCCTTGGAATGTGGGCTGGAGAGAAAGGCTCGGTGACACCTGTGGATGTGAGTTGGGAGGAGCATGTCTTTGGCAAGGGCAGGATCCAAGTGTTTGAAAATTCTGGAGCCGTTCCCACCCCACATTCCACTTATCGGCTAAGGTATGTTTAATTGTTACAGTAAATGACTGCAGACTCATTTCTCTTTCCATTATCAATATGTACTCCATGTAGACAGACTGAATACTGCATGAAAGTTATGTTTATATCAGAGGTGCCAAAACTAGGGCCCAATGACATTTGATTTGTCTTGCCGTGCAGTATATCACCAAAAAAAAAAAAATCTTTATCTTTTGGTTTTAGCATTTAATTGTCTTATTTTTGCATTGTAAATGTAGAGAATATATTAATTTAATCAAAAAACTAAATGCACTTTGAGATGCTATTCTTTATTCTTAGTGAACAGACAATAATGGCGAGATTTAGGGAGTGGCACACAGACAAGCATTAAGGTTGTTAAGAAAATTGTTTTACAAAGTCAATATTGTTTATGCGTATTCACTGTAATGTAAGGTTTGTTGTACAGTAAAATGGCACATTGCAAAGTAATTTTTAATGTTATATTTAAATAATAAATTAAAGGAATCAGGATTAACCTCCTTCTCTTTAAAGGGGTCATATGATGCTATTTTAAAGATCATTATTTT